TGCCCTTTGTGAAACATGGCTCTCTTCAGACAACGATCTTGCTTTCCACGATTTCAACATTATTCGCCTTGATCGGGCAGATTCGTATGGAGGGGTGCTTCTGGGGATCAACAAGCTCCATTCCTTCTACAGAATCGATCTGCCTTCGGTGACAGGCATTGAAGTAGTTGCATGTCAGGTTAATATTCGAGGTAAATGCCTCAGTATTGCCTCAGTATATCTTCCACCGCGAACTGCGATTTCTCGTCAAAGTTTCTCGGATATCTGCACGGCTATGCCGGAGCCACGGTTGATCTTGGGAGATTTTAATTCTCACGGTACAGGCTGGGGGGAACTGTACGACGACAACCGCTCAACCTTGATATACGACATGTGCGACTTCTTCAAAATGACAATTCTGAACACCGGGGAAGCAACACGAGTAGCCAAACCTCCAGCAAAAATAAGCAGATTAGACCTCTCACTTTGTTCGAGTTCACTATCGTTGGATTGCTCGTGGAAAGTAATTCAAGATCCCTACGGTAGTGACCATTTGCCAATCAAAATTTCTATTACCAATGGTTCATCTTCTACACGCTCGGTCGACATCGCGTACGATCTTACGAAAAACATTGACTGGCGAAAATTCGCGACCTCGGTTCTTGATGCCAGTCAATCGGTTGACGTACTTCCTCCGCTGGACGAGTACTCCTTTCTCGCGCGTGTCATCATCGATTGCGCGCTGCGAGCACAGACGAAACGTATTCCGGGTGTTTCCGTTCGGAAGCGACCTCCCACCCTGTGGTGGGATAAGGAATGCACCGACGCGAACAGCGAGAAGTCCGCCGCGTTTAAACGCTTCCGCAAACACGGTAAGGTCGAGGATTTCGAGCGATACACCGACCTCGAGAAAACCTTTAAGGGCTTGACTAAAGCCAAAAAACGCGGTTACTGGCGTCGGTTCGTCGATGGTTTGTCGCGAGAGACTTCCATGAGAACACTCTGGAATGTCGGCAGGAGAATGCGAAACGCGTCATCACCGATTAACGAAGACAAGGAGTACTCGGACAGTTGGATATTCAGCTTCGCGCGGAAAGTTTGCCCGGATTCGGTGTCGGTTCAAACCAACGTTCGTGATCGTCCGTCGGGTAATAACGAAATAGATTCCCCGTTTTCGATGGTGGAATTCTCACTTGCTCTCCTTTCATGTAACAATTCAGCTCCAGGAATGGATAGAATCAAGTTCAACTTGCTTAAAAATCTCCCAGACGTCGCGAAGAGACGCTTGTTGAACTTATTCAATCAATTTCTGGAGCACAACATTGTTCCGGATGACTGGAGGCAAGTGAGAGTTATCGCCATTCGAAAACCCGGTAAACCCGCGTCGGATTATAACTCGTACCGTCCCATCGCGATGTTGTCCTGTATACGGAAATTGTTGGAGAAAATGATTCTTTTTCGTCTAGACAAATGGGTCGAGTCGAATGGTTTACTCTCAGATACGCAATTTGGATTTCGGAGAGGCAAAGGAACGAGCGACTGTCTTGCGTTGCTTTCAACTGAAATTCAACTGGCCTATGCGCAAAAACAGCAAATGGGTTCAGTTTTCTTGGACATTAAGGGGGCTTTTGATTCTGTTTGTATCGATGTCCTTTCGGATAAACTCCACGATAGTGGGCTTTCACCAATTATGAACAACTATTTGAGCAACTTGTTGTCTGAGAAATATATGAGCTTTTCTCATGGAAACTCGACAACTTCACGAATTAGTTACATGGGTCTCCCCCAGGGTTCATGTTTAAGCCCCCTTCTTTATAATTTCTATGTAAAAGACATTGATGGTTGTCTTGATGAAAATTGCTCGCTAAGGCAGCTTGCAGATGACGGGGTTGTGTCCGTCATAGGGCCAAGTGCACCGGACCTGCAAGGACCATTGCAAGATACCTTAGACAATTTGTCTACTTGGGCTATGAAGCTGGGTATCGAATTCTCTCCGGAGAAAACTGAGTTGGTTGTTTTTTCTAGGAAGCATCATCCTGCACAGTTACAGCTTCAACTAAAGGGTAGAAAAATCACTCAAAGTATATCTTTCAAGTATTTAGGTGTCTGGTTCGATTCCAAAAGCACGTGGGGAAAACATATTGCGTATGTGAAACAAAAATGCCAACAAAGAATCAATTTTCTTCGTACAATTACCGGAACTTGGTGGGGAGCACACCCGGAAGATCTGATCAGGTTATATCGAACAACCATCTTGTCGGTTCTAGAGTACGGTAGCTTCTGCTTTCAATCCGCGGCGAAAACACATATCTTGAAGCTGCAACGGGTTCAATACCGTTGCCTCCGAATCGCGCTTGGCTGTATGCACTCGACGCATACGATGAGCCTCGAAGTACTTGCGGGTGTTCTCCCACTGACAGATCGTTTCGCGGAACTGTCCTTCCGGTTTCTTATCCGTTGTGAAGTAATGAACCCATTGGTAATAGAAAACTTTGAGAAGCTGCTCGACAGAAATCATCAAACAAGATTCATGAGTCTCTATTACGAGTACATGACGCTGGAGATTGGCCCTTCTTCCACCAATTCCTCTCGTGTTTGCCTCCAAGACTTTTATAGTTCCTCTGTAAATTTTGATCTGACCATGTTGCAAGAAATCCGTGGAATACCAGATCACCATCGGTCGATGGTTGGTCCCTTAATTTTTGCAAACAAGTACCACCATGTCAGTAACAATAAGAGTTTTTTCACAGATGGGTCAACTATAAACGCTTCCACTGGATTTGGAGTATTCAACGAATTTCATAGCGCCTCATATCAACTGCAAAAACCCTGTTCCGTATACGTTGCGGAACTAGCAGCCATATTCTACGCAGTAGAGCAAATTGCCTCACTACCATCTGATCACTATTTTATTTTTACAGATAGCCTTAGCTCGTTGGAGGCTATTCGATCAATGAGGCCGATGAAGCACTCCTCGTATTTCCTTACGGAAATCCGAGCAAAATTGAGTACTTTATCTAACTGCTCCTATACTATCACCTTAGTTTGGGTCCCATCTCATTGCTCAATTCCGGGTAATGAGAAAGCGGACTCGCTAGCTAAGGTGGGCGCTATGGAAGGCGATATTTTTGATCGACAAATCGCCTTTGCGGAATTTTTCTCAATTACCCGTCAGCACGTCCTCACCAACTGGCAACAAAAATGGAATGAGAGTGATCTGGGAAGATGGTTACATTCTATTCTCCCACAGGTGTCGAACAAGCCATGGTTCAAAGGATTGGACATGAGCCGTGACTTTATACGAGTCATGTCAAGGCTCATGTCTAATCACTACTCGTTAGACTCGCATTTCTTCCGAATCGGGCTCGCAGGCAGCAATTTGTGCGCTTGTGGTAGTGGCTATCACGATATCGACCACGTGCTTTGGTCATGCACTTTACATTGTGTTGCTAGATCCGAGTTATCCGCATCCCTCAGGGCCCGAGGAAAACAACCTTTGCGGCCCGTTAGAGACATCTTGGCGAGCCGAGATCTCGAATATTTTAATTTAATTTATGTGTTTTTAAAACGGATCGATCTGAGGATTTAGTAGTTAGTGTCATCTTGTGTTCCCCCAAGTTGTTAGCTGCCCATCGGTGTACCCCCATGTTTGTCTTTTTCATCAGTTGGTCGCTTAGTTCGAGATCAAGAGCACATTGCTCTCCAAACCTTGTGTTCTCAATCCCTACCCTGCCATCCTTTTGTTAAAATGTGTTACCCCTAACCTCGAGATAGCCGCGAGTAATCGGCCTCCGCTTTACTAACGTTAGTTTTAAGAAACTTTGTAATATAAACAATGAATATCGGCTCCGCAAAGCTACGGCAAATGAGCCTGGAAAAATAAACGCATTATAAAAAAAAAAAAAATACGAAACTAACGATTTTAAATTGGCTCACCACTTTAGTAGCCTATTGGTCCCAAGCAAACGATTAACGTACCCTATTCTAGTTGAAATTCTATTACTACACTATGTTTGTTTTAATTCGCTTTGAAAGTTTGACAGATAACATCAGGGGTGTGTGGATTCATGCAGAACATGCAGGGGTGAGTGAAATAGCTTGGGACTGCTTGGGACCGTTGTTCTGGTGCTGAGTGAACCAAAAATAATAATGATTTTCTTCGGGACCCAGTAGTCTTAGAGTTACCTCTATGGTACTAACTCTAAGACTACTGGGTCCCGAAGAAAATCATTATTATTTTTGGTTCACTCAGCACCAGAACAACGGTCCCAAGCAGTCCCAAGCTATTTCACTCACCCCTGCATGTTCTGCATGAATCCACACACCCCTGATGTTATCTGTCAAACTTTCATAGCGAATTAAAACAAACATAGTGTAGTAATAGAATTTCAACTAGAATAGGGTACGTTAATCGTTTGCTTGGGACCAATAGGCTACTAAAGTGGTGAGCCAATTTAAAATCGTTAGTTTCGTATTGATTGTTGGTACTACCATAGAGGTAACTCTAAGACCACTGGGTCCCAAAGAAAATCATTATAGATCAGTGCACGGTCCCTAACCTCACTTTTTGCTCCCTATCATTTTGCTTCTGAGTAAAAGAGATAGCAACGAATGGGAGCCAAAACAAACCACCCAAAACTGTCAAAACTTACGGGTGAGAGAAGAGTGCGGCAAATCTTCGTGAACTGATCAATTATTTTTGGCTCACTCAGTACCAGAACAACGGTCCCAACGGGTCCCAAGCAGTCCCAAGCTATTTCACTCACCCCTGCATGTTCTGCATGAATCCACACACCCCTGATGTTATCTGTCAAACTTTCATAGCGAATCAAAACAAACATAGTGTAGTAATAGAATTTCAACTAGAATTGAATGATAGTCATGAGAAAGTCGAATCTCTCGTTCCGTTTCTGACAACAACAAAAAGTGAGAGTGGGAGGCAAAACTCAAAATTACCCAAAATTAAGTAAAAAGAACTTAAATTAAGGGAATTTTTTTTTCTCTGTTTATGATCGATTCACCCGGTGAGTAAGCTGAAGTAAGCGTGTAGCTCTGGGTAGCTCTCATTGGCGGTGCATTTGCGCATCAAGTTGATCTGAATATTGTGAACCGTGATAGTAAGAATTATCGGTTAAATCTTTACTTAAACATGAAGAATCGACCGTTGAAACATAAAGCAAAGAACGCTTTTCAGGTACGTTATGTTTTTACATCATTTACATATTCATTATTAGCTAGACAATGGTCTTTCTGATTTAATGGTAAGGCGCAACATGTTTCCATTAGACCACTGACATCGTGTAACTTTTAGGTTAATTTAGTTTGTCTTATTTTCCCCAGTTCAAATCATTCCACGAGCGCATATCTGAAGTGGACGTCCGCCAGTCGGTGCTATACTACGTTAAACACGAAAATGAGGAATTAGAGGAGCATCAGTCGTATTTCCACCAGACCATTCAGAAATGGAGTGTACTTAACTTGTCTGATGAATATCAGAGATTCCACGCTCCGGTACGGGGAATTGTTACACTTTCTCAGTTGCTGCATAAGAAAGACTTTGTAATAGAACGTCTGCTGACAAGTTTAGACAGTGCCACCGAGCTGTCTCTACAAGCTCTTTTGGAGTAAGTGGAGATGTATATATTTTTTTCAGCGCAACTAACTTTTTTTTTTCTCAGGTTTGTAGTTATACTCGCTAGAGATTTACGGGAGGATTTCTATCGATTTTTTGAGCGAATATTCGATAAATTGATTTGTTTATTGAGCACTCAAAATCCACAACAATTAGAATGGACTCTGTTATGTCTAGCATCCCTGTTTAAAATTATGCGCGGTTATCTAAGGGAAAGGCTTGATTTCATTTTCGGCCGCATCGTTACACTACTTTGTGATGAAAACCAGCTTCATATTACGAATTTTGCGACCGAATGTTTTGGTTTTCTAGCCCGAGATACAAAAAAGAAACGAGAATTGGTACATATGATAACAAGCGCTGTGAAACACGATCCCACTTTGTCTACAGGATGTGGTCGGTTGTTATTTGAAATAATGCGTGGCGTAAACCAACAGTTCCATAGCTGTGCTAGTGACTTCTGGAATTTGCTTCTGCTAGAAATGCTGAATGAGCCTGCAAGCGATATAACTGGTTTCGATCCGGAAGTGTTGTTCGACATTCTTGTGCAGACTGTTTCCGATATGCTACAATGCATTGCCAGTACGAACTTAGTACCATTTTGGAGCTCTGTGTATCAGGCTGCGGAGTCATGTGTAGCAAATGAAAACATGGTAAAAAACGAGCAAACATTAGACTACATCCTTCATTTGATTGGCATCGCTGTGGAGCACCAACATGGAAAATGCGTCAACAACTGTGCTCAGATGATTAGTCTTTTGGTGAAAATTGTCACTCGTACCAAATCTGAAAGGGTTCTTGCCAATGTAACGAAAATTGCTACTATAATTATGCTGTCGAGGAATTTGAATATAACTCAACTGGACGCAAGTCGCCTTTGCAAAAATGTAATGACAATTGGACCTCGCTCAAGGATAGTTTTTGAAGACTTCGTGCTCGGTATGGTAGAATATGCCATGTTTGAAAATATCATACTGCCGGATTATTTGAAATATTTTGAAAAAAAAATTGACACAGAAAGTCTGAATCTGCTAACGCGAATTGTGACAAAAAAGTCTCCACGCTGCAGACACGGCATCAAACTGAACTGTTGGAAGCAGTTTCCTATTAAAATAAAAACGGATCATGCAAAGCGAATGTATTCAGATTTGTTAAGAGGTAAGTTTTAATTTTTATGTATTGTTTTAAGTTGCTACACCTAAATTAATCATAAACGACCTTCAATCTTCTTACCCAGTGACTGAGTAAGATTGAACGGCAGTTTATTGTCGAGAAGTTTTAGTATAATATATATCGACAGTGAGCATGCATAAGGGCCTATACGCGATGATCGATTCTCTTCGTCGATTTTCTCTTTTGTTAATAACTCGCTAGATTTAACGTTTCTCGGTGCGTTTGCTGTTGCTTTTGATAGCCAATACAACCTGTTACTACTCTGCATTGAACAAATTCTAGAAAATTGTTTCGCTTAGCAGTAGCAATGCAAAGAGAAAATCGATGAAGAGAATCGATCATCGCGTATTCGCCCTTATGAATGCTCACTGTCGATATTTTGATAATTCGACAATGAGCATGCATAAGGGCGTATACGCGATGATCGATTCTCTTCATCGTTTTTCTCTTTGCATTGCTCCAGCTAAGCGAAACAATTTTTTAGAATTTGTTCAATGCAGAGTTGTAAGAGGTTATACTGGCTATCAAAAGCAACAACAAACGTACCGATAAACGTTAAATCTAGCGAGTTAATAACAAAAGAGAAAATCGATGAAGAGAATCGATCATCGCTTGTACGCCCTTATGAATGCTCACTGTCGAATTGTTTATGTTTTGAGAGTTGGTGCACAGGTAGATTGAGGTTAAGGAAACGGCACTGATTAACACACTACACGGTAAGAAAAAAGTACCCAACGGCCAGTTCACTTTTACCTACTTTTGACTAGTTCGTCTCCTTTTCTCCTACTAATGCTGTCAAAAACGGACGAGCAAAACCACCCAACAGGGGTAGTAAAGTGTGGGAACCCAACGTTGAGTATATTCATATTTACCTACCGTTGGGAACAACTAACTTACTTTTGGTTAAAAATCCAGTGGAAAATTCCATACGAACTGCACACAAGTAAATGAAAATTACTTTGACCCGCTTTACCTACTTTTGGGTTCCTGCACTATAGTGCCGAGATGAGTGAAAAGAACTTAATTTTGGGTACTTTTTTTTCTAACCGTGTAGACTGACTGATCCATAATTGTGGGGTCAGTGTATATTAAAATCTTATACAATGGTTCCAAAACATCAGAAAAAATGTTATTTTTTTCCAAAATATTGTGTTTTGAACATAATGTCTAGGCGCGCTTCTTTGGACTGGACGGGCTACTTTTAATACTGTTAAATAAAATGAAACATTTTAAAGGATCGATTTAATGTTTATCCACAACTTGTTACTGGTACTGCAGGGAAAATAGCGAGGCGAGAGTACAGTCCATTCTAAGGAGTGAATGAGTTCAGTTCGCTTAATAAAAACCTAGGGGTGCGACACATCTGAATCTAAAGTTTAGATGGTCGAAAAATCTCACGCTAACAAATCAATCTACGAAAAATCTTTTTTCATCGCTTGCATCTAAATTCATCTACTCGCATCGCTCTCCACCTTTATGCAGGAAATCTTAAAAATCTACATCAATCTTATTTCTACCTACTAAGCGTGCTCACAACAGCGAAGCGTTTTTTTTCCTGCATCATAGATAGAGTCGCCCCCCTCGATAAAAACTAAGAATTGTTCAAAGCAAAATCGTGTGTTGTGATTTAGTGATTAATTTCCCTGCATCAAGCTATCAAACTAAACATTTGGTCCAATCGAACCGGATGAGCGAACATTTTAGTCCGCCAAACGTAGTGCTTACGGAAATTTAGTTGCTGTCGTGTGCCGTGTGCCAAAGTTCGGTCCGGGGTCGAAGGTCAGAAAACGTTATGTCCGTGGCATAGTACGGGTTCTGGTAGTGTTTGCACCGTGTGCAAAAGTGCAATTAGTGAGGCCCAAGATTGAGCTTTGAAACAGAACGCACCGTGTGCGTAGTGTGGCCCGTGACCGAAAAGTGAAATTGATTGCGTTCGTGGCGTAATCAAACATTGCAAACTAGAACACCTCGTGTGCGTAGTGTGGTCCGTGGCCAGAATATCGAAAATGATTATGTCCGTGGCAAAATCATTCTAAAATCAAGCATACCGTGTGCGTAGTGTAGTCCGTGAATGACGTAGTGATTATGCTTGTAGATGTGGATGCTGGACATTTAAACGCACCGTTTGCGTAGTGAGGCTGGAAGTCGATAAAACGAACGTTACAATTTGTGATGCACCGTGTGCATATATTGTAACTCAAGGTCAAAGTGAACTAGTAGACGTGCCCGTGGTACATCACTAGTTGAACGATTCCGAAGAAGTGTGGACATGAGTGACTGTGAAACACCACTAGGAGTGTTGCAACAATTAACAAGAAGAAACATTTTGGAAGCGCTAACAGGTTCACGTAGTGAACAAGAGAATACAATTCCGTCAATCAAGTGCTCGAGAAGAAGAAAGCAATGGAATCCAACTTAAAGGTGCTGATGGATCAGCGTGACCTGATCACGAGGATGAAGGAATCGTTGCGGCGGTGTGCGAACGAATTCGACAAAATACATGTCTAACGTTCTCTATAAGAAGCTCGACAACGATACGCAGGAGCAGTGGGAGCTAAAGCTGCCTTAGGTTGAAATTCCTAAATACGATAGATTTGTTGAATTTTTTCGTGAACGAGGACGCGTTCTACAGCGTTCGAATCGCTCACAGCAGCAACAGGCAATGGTACAGATTGATTGATTGATTGATTGATTGATTTCTTTATTATAGAGACTTTCAGCCGTTGGCTGGTTCGTCTCTGAAAAGATAGTGTGGGGTTTTTTGGGGATTGAGTACAGTGGCAGATTATGTGTTCCACTGAACAGTTGGTGCGGCAGAGCTCACAAAATTTCAGGAACGGGCCGCTCCCAGAAAAGTTATGCGAGACTCTGGTATGGTCTGTTCTTAGTCTTGCCAGGACAACCTGAGTTCGGTGGTCAGGGTCTTGCCATCTTCGTGTGTCAGCCTTCACTTTTCTAAGGAAAATGCTAGTTGATTGGGACCATGTATTTGACCAGTCCCAGATTTTGTTGGCAACCCATTTTTTCAGGTCCCCTGATGGAACCTCCTTGGTGAACAGTTGGGCTCATCTTCCAGAAGCCGCTAGATGATCCGCCTCCGTTATACCACGAATGCCGCAGTGGCCCGGAATCCATACAAATGTAGTGTTTCTGGGGGCATATCGCTGAATGGCTTGGATCCATGAGTGCTTAATAGAGTCTGAGTTGAGGGCTAAAACTACACTTGCGGAGTCCGTAAATACGGCAATCGGCTTGTTTGAGGGAGTGGTAGCAGCAATAAAAGCAGAGACCGATTCTGCCGAGAATATAGTGTACTGGTCTGGAAGTCGATGAAGTACGGACATTTGGGGGCCCGTGATGCCGATGCCAACCCCTTCACGGGAAACCGATCCATCGGAGTAACGGATAGTGTGGTTGCAGTATCTGGTTCTCTGGAGTTCCGCGACGGATCTCACAAGTGCCGTAGAGTTGGATCCTGCCTTGAACTTCTTCTTTATCTCCAAGTCGATAATGGGCCCGGGCAGGTTCCAATCTCTGGTTCCACACCAATGTATGCTAGACACCGGGGGGAGCTCCAGATTGGCGGTGGCTGAAAGGAGTTGTTTGGCCTTGGTAAGGAGGAAAACTCCTTCATCTGAGCCAGCTGTCCCCTCCTCGAAGCTAATTGATTGGTTACAGATGGTCTGAGTAACTAGAAGGTTGAATGGTAGTACTCCACTTTCCACGCAAGCTGCAATTGCAGGCGTGGATGGTAGTAGGCCGGATGAGATACGGATTGCTTGGTGGTATGTAGAGGCTAGTTTCGTAATAAGTTGTTCGCGAGCGAGACAGGTAACTTCGATTCCATAAAGGAGACGTGATTCTAAAATTGTTCTAGCAACTCGAATACGAATGGGCCGTCCCCGTCACCAGGCATGAAGACGCAGGAACAGCAAGTCGTAGAATGCTCAAGTGCAACGACATTGTGTGCACTAGACTGATGCAAAATTTGACTTTTTCGCTCCACAGTGCTTAAATGGTTTCAAATCGGGTCCTGATAAGCCTCCCAAAGTTACAACTCGTTTGGTTGGAAACAGACTTCGCACAAGCCATTTGAAGTTTACATGTAAATCACTATGGGAAATCTCAACTTTTTGTTCATTGCCTTCTAGTCTTTTTCCATATTTAGCTGCGAAACAGTTCGATAGCCATTCTTATAGAAATTTTTTTCAGCTACAACTTTGCTTAAAATCGTTTCTATGTAAAACGAGACAAGAAAAAATTATTAATTATTTAAGAGATTGGTAAACTTACGACATGATCAAGCCGCTGCTCTGTAGGCAACACTGTATTTTGCAGTGTGACATAGTAGCCATGATTTGTATGTCCTATTCAACGCCCCAGAAACACCAATGTTGCCTGCTGAGCAGTTGATTGAGCATGATCATAAGACATCAGCGCATTGAACCATTGATAACTTTCGATCCTTGCATTTAATTGCATCTTCAGCAAAGTTGTAGCTAGAAAAATTTCCTACAAGTACAGTTGAAAGCTTTAGAAGCAGAAAGATATGGTGAATTATTAGATAGACATGAACAAAAATCTTGGTTTTACCATAGTAATTCCCATACAAACTTCAAATGGTTTGTGCCATCTCAGTTTCTCACCAAATGGGTTCAAATTTTGAGAGGTTAGTCAGGATTCGATTTGGAATCGTTTAAGAATTGTGGAGTGAAAATTTCAAATTTTGCATCACTCTAGTGTGCACATATTGGCACAACAAAGCGACAGGTACTGTTGTCAACGGCAGAAGTTTTCGTGGTAGGAACAGGAGGTTCCACCGTTAAGTGTCGTGCGCTGTTAGATTCAGGATCCCACATTCACATACTCACAGAGAGGTTGGCAAGTAAGTTGATGTTGAAGATGGATCGCATCGATCTTCCTATCACTGGTCTCAACGACATTCAGACTCGAGTAAAGTACTTAGTTTCGACGAAAATTCTGTCACAAATCAGTTCTTTCACGACGAGTGAATAAGATTTCTTGGTCGTACCAAGGGTAACATCGAACGTGCCCGTCGTGGAGATCGATACTAAATGCTGGAAACTACTGTATGGCGTGCAGTTAGCGGATCCGTTGTTCTACGCTCCAGGAGAAATTGATATCATTATTGACAATGAAATATTTTTCGACTTGGTGAAGAAGGGACGCTTGAAGATCGAAAACAGTGCTGTAACCTTAGCTGAAACTGAATTCGGCTGGGTCGTCGGAGGTTCAGTGTAAACTAGGAGAGGTGCACCACGTGCACGTTTGTGTCTGTTCAGTAAACAAGAAGAGATCCTGAATGAAACTATGGTGAAGTTTTGGGAAATCGAGGACGTTCGTCTGGGTTCAACTTTGTCGGTGGCAGAAGCTGCAGTTGAGGAGCATTTCAAGGACACTCATGCTAGGGATGATCAAGGCCGCTATGTAGTGCGACTTCCGTTCAACGAGCTAAAAGGTCAACTTGGTGATTCTTTTGTTATGGCAAAGAAGCGTTATGATCGACTGATGATTTCCTTGTTAAGGAATCCTGAGAAACGTATACAGTATTTTGAGTTCATGATAGAGTACATAGCTCTCGGTCATATGAAACAAATAAAGGTCGTAAGTGAAGGCGGATACTTAATTCCGCATCACGCTATGTACAAGACCTCTAGTTCCACAACGAAAACTAGGGTAGTTTTCGACGCATCGACAAAAACAAGTTTTGGAATCTCGTTAAATGATGCTGTAATGGTTGGGCCTACTGTACAAAGTGATCTGGTGAAGATAATTATGCGCTTTTGTGGCCATCAAGTGGTACTGACAGCCGATGTTCCAAAAATGTACCGTCAAGTCGGTATGCATCCAGATGACTGCAAGTACCATAAGATTGTGTGGTGTGATGAAAACGGTGAATGGAAGGTGTTCGAGCTCCAAACAGTAACGTACGGTGTGACAAGTTCACCGTACCACGCGACAAAGGCATTGATTCAACTGGTTGCAGACGAAGGTACACAGTTTCCACTGGCCGCACAAGTTATCGAAAAGGACAGTTATGTGGACGATTTTCTAACCGGTGAACAATTGGTCGAAACGGTGATCGATACATACAAAAAACTATCAGCATTATTGGCTCGAGGAGGGTTCGGCGTTCACAAATTCTGTTCGATTAGTGCAGAGGTCCAGGTGCAATTCCAGAGGATCTGCAAGAAAAGCAAGTCAGTTTCGAAGAATCTGGGATTAATAATACAATCAAGACACTTGGATTGGATTGTATGACATTCCCCCGAAAGCCATTCACCAGAACGGACTATTCCCAATAAAACCATTCCCCAGAATACACCATTCCACAGAATGTACCATTCTCCAGAAAAGTATGCCATGTATTAGATTGACTATTTTTGTTTATTATAGTCACTCCTGGAATCTTCTTTCGCGTATTTAAAAAGAATAGAAAAACTTCTTAATGGATAAAGGCGTTTTCCTTTTTTTTTTTGAAAATATAAGAAAAGGAAATAATTAATTCTTTGGATAAACGATAAAGATGGGAATATTCCCTTTTTTTAATATCTAAAAAAAGAAAACATGATTAATTCGTTAAATATATGATAAAGAAGGGAATATTCCCTTCTTTGAAAATATAACAAAAGGAAATAATTAATTCTTTGGATATACAATAAAGAAGGGAATATTCCCTTCTTTGAATATATAGAAGAGAACATCAGTAATTCGTTAAATATATGATAAAGAAGGAAATATTCCCTTCTTAGAAAATATAAGAAAAGGAAATAATTAATTCTTTAGAAAAACGATAAAGAAGAGAATATTCCTTTCTTTGAATATATAAAAGAGAAAATAATTAATTCTTTGGATGTATGATAAAGAAGGGAATATTCCCTTCTTTGAAAATATAACAAAAGGAAATAATTAATTCTTTGGATATACGATAAAGAAGGGAATATTCCCACCGACAAACCGACATGACACATAAACTTAACACTTGATCAAGAATCCATAACGGTCGATTCAAATGTGCAGCGATCCCATCTGTCATAAACATGGAAATGAACTAACTCATAAATTTTGTACGCGTGTTCGTGGCTAGGATACATACTTTTCGCAAACACGGCGGCAGATGTCAGTTTTGTGCTTTGATCAGAAATTTTTTTCTAATTTGTATGATCATTAATGTCGGTTTGTCGGTGATATTCCCTTCTTTGAATATATAAAAGAAAACATCATTAATTCGCTAAACATATGATAAAGGAGGGAATATTCCCTTTTTTGAAAATATAAGAAAAGGAGATAATTAATTCTATGGATAAACGATAAAGAAGGGAATATTCTCACCGACAAACCGACATGAAAGTTAAACTTAATTCTTGATCGAGAATCCATAACGGCCGATTCAAATGTGAAGCGATCCCATCTGTCAAAACCATAGAAATGTTTTATCTAGATAAAAATAATTTGTCCGAAATAGATTGACAAATCCAAGTTTCAATCGGCCGCCATGGCGCTGCAATCGCAGCGGTGATAAGTCCGAAATAATGTGTCAAACTGAATACATTTTTGAAATTTCAACCAAAAAACTATTATTTTGTATTTATTCTAGTGAGTTTCTGTGGGAGTCAAAACATGATCCGAGCAAAAAAGTAGTACTCGTAATAATGGTATATAATTCTGAATTTTATCGTGCTTTGTTTCGTAAATATCTTCCAAATAAACAAACATCATCCAGATCACCCGATTCGTCCACCGACTAAATCTATTGCCACTTAAAAATTAATTTCAGTCGGCGTATTAATCAGCAGATTAAATCGTTTTTCGTCTGGTGCTACACCGAGCAATCGGCCTATTTAATAGTTTTTCGTCGATTGATTTAGTCGGTCAACTTTGTCTGTTGTTTAATCGGCAGATGATTTCAAACCTTAACATGTTTTCAGTAATTTATAAGTCTTGAAGTAGCTTTTTATTTAAGAACAATGCATTATAAAATAGTTTTATGCATTTTGTACAAGATTCATCCATGCTGACAAGAAATTTTCATGAAATTACATTGAAATTAAATAATTTTGCAAACAATCAATGAAATTTTCAAGGGCTGTCACAGACTTATCACCGTCGGTTAGTGCTTATTCCTGCCACCAGGCGCGCATGAGTTTAAGTTGGATTTCTCAATTAATTATATGATTTGAGTAGAAGATCCGATAGATGTCGCCCCTTCAGTGGTAGGAAAATCATTTTTGCAGTATGGAGAATACCAGAAAATCCACGATTTGTGACTAAAAATGCTTTCACAGAAGAAAACAAATAAACGAGTGTTTACCTTATCACCATAGTAATGTACTCGTGCAATTTTTGTGCATCTAAAACTGCCCATAAAGACGATTATGAATAAAAACTGAAAATTTTCATGCATTTTCAAATGGTTTCCTACCATTCCCATACATTCGAAAGTGACTGGCCCTCTGGATGTGGATGATGTCAAAAACAACAAAACATGATTAATTAGATTCGAACCAACTCATAAATTTTGTACGCGTGTTCGTGGCTAGAACCTTTGTGCTTTGAGCAGAAATTTCTTTGTAATTTGTATTATCATTTATGTCGGTTTGTCGGTGATATTCCCTTCTTTGTATATATAAAAGAGAAAATAATTAATTCTTTGGATGTATGATAAAGAAGGGAATATTCCCTTCTTTTATTATATAAGGAAAATATATAATCAATAGCTTTTCTCAAGGGATTGGGGGTAGTGCCATTTGGGATAATAACGAGTAGAATTATGTTATAAATTTGTAATCGGTAGTTCAATGTTCCATGCACCGATTTTTTAATCCATCACGAGAAATTCTTCAACTCAGGTCGAACAATTCTTCGATAAGGTTTAACAGTTTCCGACTGGTTGAATTGGATTGCATAATAGACCCTTTTACTTATTAAATGATGAACGAAGAGCTTGAAAACTTGAAGGTTGCCATTTTATAAAGAGCTAAAAAATGGTTTGGAATTGATAAATACATAGTTCCATAAAAGTAAACATAGTGTATTATCAATAGTAAAAAAAAGAAAAGTGAAAATTACTAATTTCATCATCTTTTCTGGGGAATGGTACATTCTGGGGATTTATTTTTTCTGGGTAATGGTTCATTCTGTGGATTTGTTCTCTGAGAAATGGTGCATTCTGGGGAATGGCTTTCAGGGGAATGTCATACAATTCTTGGATTGATCTGGAATCCTTCGGAAGATTATTTCATTTTCCACGTCGAGCCGTTGATTGATGGGAAGATTTCTTCTACGAAGCGTGAGGTGTTGTCGGATATCGGTCGGCTTTTCAATCCATTGGGATTCCTGGAACCAGTCATCACCTGTGCGAAAATTATCACGCAAGATTAATGGCGTCTTGGACTAGACTGGGATGAGCAGCTTCCTGACGAATTGTTGCATCAATAGCAGCATTTTCGAGAAGAGCTAACGGTAATCAATCAAAAACAAAAGCAACGTTGTGTAGTTCTCAGTAATGCGACATGGATTAAATTACATGGATTTTCTAGGCGGGCATATGGAGCTGTGGTTTACATCCGAAGCATAATAGCAGAAGGCGGTTGCGGTGCTGGAACTAACTCCAGATTACACTTGGAATTATATCAGATCGGAAGAAAATCCTGCAGATGCCATCTCGAGAGGTGAATTGCCAATAGACATTGTGAACAAAAAATCGTGGAGGAATGGCCAATCTATGCAGTGAAAGCAGGCGTTTAAAGCAGATGAGCCAGAAGAATTGGAGGAATCAGTCCTACCTGACATCAGGCCAGAAAGGGTGTTGGTGGCTGTGAGAAGTGAACCGCCAATGCAATTCAACAAAGTGAGTGATTACAGGAAGCTTTTAAGGGCTGGGCCTACGTGATGAGGTTTATTGACCTGAAGAAGGAAAAAATATGTGTTTAGTGTTACCAAGAGTGTTACGGCAGAAGAAATGGTGAAGGCCGAAAAGGTTATTGCGAAGACTACAAATCAAGAAGACTGGCAAATCAGGAGACAGTAACGGCAACGCCTCTTCTGAGCAAAAGTGGAACCTGTGTATGATAGAGTGCATTCATACACATAGGTAGAAATAAATAGCTGTCAATAATTGGGTTTTGTTGATTGTCGTAAATAGTAAAACGTTTTTTTCTTTGCTTTATGCTGACAACGATTAAAATTGCAGCTGAAATTGAACAGAAGCGTAAGTAAATTTGTTTTTTTTAAATTAAAACTATGACAATGATGCCATTCGGTGGGACCTTTCTTGATCATTAATTTCCTACCATTTGAATGTCACTGGCTAATATGACATTGTTGTTATCATTCTCTGGAAGGGGTCGGTCGATTCCAAGAATTGTTAAAGCATACAGAGAATCACTATCCGGTGGTTTCATGTTCTGACAACATCTAAAATGGAAATATATTCTTTATTTTTAGGAAGAAGTCCAAAGTTTACAAAGCATATGTGGTTGTTTTTGTATGCATTGTTGCGACAGATTTTCTCGGAGTTCTTCCAGCAAAAAACAACTCAGAGTTGAGTGTATATTAGCTTAAAGCTAGAATGCATTTATTATATTAAGAAAGCTTTAGAAACAATTTGTGTAATCTTACTCACAATTCAGTCTCCGTTTTATGTGTTTAATATATGTCACAACAGTTCGTGAAATTCTAATTATTATCCTGTAATTAGTTTTATGTTTAGTAATTTAATGTAGGTATAAATTCAAATAAATCACCTTATTATTTTAACTAATTCTTCCGCTTTGCTTCACAAATATTAACTTTCCTATCACTGTATCATATATGTACGATAAGATTTGTTTACATTCTTTTATCTCATATCTCTTATCAGTCCTTATTGTTCTCCCTCTCTCTAATCTGTCCATCATCACGTTTGACGGCTTGGGTTCACAGATCAACCGTTTGGTATAATGTGGCGCGTTAGCTACCACTACTGGTAACCGATACAAGGGGTTGTTGCGGCGAACATCCTCCCCCGCGTGTCGCCATAGCTTCGGGTTTGGCGTCACCAGAATTCTCCACGTCCAGCACAGCCAGTTTCGCTGCAGGTCTCTTCAGAATCCCTCTTGACGTCAGTACTTCTGCCCGGCGAACCACTCCATCCTTGCCTGGGATCACCTGAACTACTCGTCCTCTCATCCAACGGTTTCTTACGTTCTCGTCTGCCACGAATACTAGTTCGCCTTCTTTGATTGGTCTTACATCCCGAAACCACTTTGTTCGCCGAGTGATGGTTGGCAGGTACTCCACTATCCAGCGACGCCAAAAGTTATCTAGCGTATGTTGCACCATATTCCAGCTATTTCGCAAGGCCATTCCATCGTCCGTCGGGGTTTTCTCAGGCTCACGAACTCCGTTGGAGCTTAACATCAAAAAATGATTTGGGGTCAAGGATTCGTGATCAGCCGTTTCCAAGGGAATGTAGGTGAGCGGTCGCGAGTTAACCATACTCTCCGCTTCTGCTAACACGGTTGCTAGTGATTCCTCATCCAACTTCCGGACTGCCGGAATCGATCCTAGAGCAGATTTTACGGCCCGAACCATCCTTTCCCAGCAACCACCCATGTGAGGGGCAGAAGGTGGGTTAAAACGCCACTGAGTTTCCGTATTTGTGAACGTGCTGCTCAGTTCGATGTTGATCTTCTTGACTTCGTCCACCAGATCCCGATTCGCTCCGACGAAGTTAGTTCCGTTGTCGGAGTAGATTTCTTGGGGAGAGCCACGCCGCGCAATGAACCTTCTTATCACCTTTTTACAGGAATCTGTGGATAGACTGGCGACAACCTCGAGATGAATAGCCCGAACGGTGAGACATGTAAACAGGCAAACCCATCGCTTCACTGCACTTCGTCCAATCCTGATTAAATATGGGCCGAAAATGTCCACTCCCACGTAGGTGAAAGGGCGTACGAATGGTTCTAATCGTACCGAAGGTAGCGGTCCCATTTTTGGCATGACAGGCGTCGCTTTGTACACGTGGCACAACATGCAACGTTTCTTGATTAGTCGCAGCTGAACCCTCAATTTCGGAACATGGAACTTTTGGCGCACCTCGTTGACTACCGTTTCACCATTTGCGTGTCCATATTTGCGATGGTAATAGTCCAACAACAAATCCGTTATGCGATGGTTTCTGGGTAGAATTATAGGAAACTTCGCATCGTAAGACAATATCTGCGCTGCTGCAGCACGACTTCCCACTCGCAGAACCCCGTATTCATCGGCGAATGGTGTCAGTTTCATAATAGCGCTTGATGGATCCAATTGCTTTCCCAACGCACGTTGGTCACCTCGTCTTTGCTTCAAAATAGTAATTTCCTCAGCAAACGCTTCGGATTGTGCTGTCTGCCACAAGATTCCTTCCGCCATCTGCAGTTCTTCACTAGTCATTCCAACCGTGTCAGCTAACTCAGTACTCGGGGTACGCAGGTTGTTGATGAAATGGTACATGTACGCCATACAATGCAGCAATCGTTCAAACTTCGAAAACCTCTCTGCGTCCACCACCGGTTGTACGACGAGATGACTGCAAACGACCGCCGCTCGAAGTTCTTTGTCGCTTTCATCCATATTCCCTTCTTCGTTGGGATCCATCGACCATCCTGCCTCCTGTGCATACAGAAATTCTGGTCCCTGGAACCATCGGCTGTCTACGTTGCAAGAAGGGCCTTTCCCCCACTTGGTTGCTTCGTCTGCTACGTTGACCTTGGTTGAAATCCATCTCCACTCATCGACGCTCGATAAACTGAGTATTTCGTCGACTCTGAAGGCCACGAATTGGCGATACCTACGCACATCGGATTTTATCCATGAACAAACTGTCGAAGAGTCGCTCCAAAAGAAAGTTTTATGGATTTTCAGCGTGTGATTACGGTCTATTGTTCTCCGCAAGCGAGCTCCCAGCAAAGCTGTCATCAATTCTAATCGCGGTATCGAAAGTCCTCTAAGGGGTGCAACTTTGGTTTTCGATGAAACTAGTGCGACCCTGATATGCCCTTTGTCAACTATGCGGAAGTATCCTACAGCCGCGAAAGCTTGAGCGCTGGCATCAACGAATATGTGTAGCTCCAGGGATTTGAAGCTATCAGCATCGTATTCAAGAAAATAGCAACGTGGAATGCGTAATCCATCCATCTCCTTGAGTACCACAAGCCATTCCATCCAGCGCTTCACGATCACTTCCGGAACCTTGCCATCCCATTCAGTGTCTGTCCGCCAAACGTCCTGAATCAGGATCTTTCCGTGTACTACGAACGAAGCCACTAAACCCAACGGATCATACATACTCACGACGACTCGTAGCATTTCTCTCTTCGTGGGAATTGCAGGAGCTTCCACCAAGGTTCGAATTCTTTCGCAAAACTGTAGTGAGAATGCGAAAACATCTTCCTCTTGCAACCAGACCATCCCTAGCACTCGCTCGTATCCAACCTCCTTATCCGGTAGCATGATTTTTGATGGTTCCCTGTTAGGTTCTCCTAACTTCTCCAACACGCTTTTGTCACTCGACATCCAATTGCGGATATGAAATCCCGCGCGCCTGTGCACCTCGATTACTTCCTTGGCTACCTCGTACGCTTCTTCCGCTGTATTGAAACTGTCTACGTAGTCGTCCACATAGTGCCGCTTTGTAACGGCTGCTGCTCCTCTCGGTAGTTCCCATTCTTGGTCCGATGCGTTCAGGTTCTTTATGTACTGGGAGTGCGCAGGAGAGCAGGCCGCTCCGAATATTGCCACGTCCGAAACCATGATGCTCATTGGTAGCTCGGGTGAATCTCTGTAAGGAAACAACAAAGCGCTGCGGTCCTGTTCACGGATCAGCATTTGCAGGAACATCTCTTTGACGTCGGTTGACACTGCAACTTGGCGTTCCCGGTACGGGAACATTACGGAAAATAACGGGGTTAGGAGATCCGGACCTATCAAAAGCATTGAGTTTAGCGATATGCCTTCAACCTTCGATGCAGCATCCCAGATAACTCTGACTTTCCCAGGCTTCTTCTCATTCAAAACTACTCCGATAGGAAGGAACCAGGTTCGACGTAGATCAAACCCTTCCAGTTCCTGCATGGTCGCTTCATGTATGTAACTTTTGGATTTGAAATCTGCTATTTGACGACAGACGCTGTCGTATAGATTCGGATTCCGAGCTAAGCGCTTTTCAAGGCACTTAAAACGACGCTCCGCCATTGGTCTGCTGTCCGGAAACTCAATGTAGTCGTACTTCCAAAGCAAACCAGTCTCGTACTTCCCAGTACTGGTACGGCGCGTGGTTTCTTCCAGGATCTTATATGCCCTCTGCTCTTCTACCCCTTTCACAGCAGGAACAACTGCTACCCCTAGGCTCTCGACATAAAAAAAAAATGCCGGACGTAATCGTGGAGATCTACATCCGATGGTCCTGCACATATGTGTAGTTGTCTATGTAGTATACCTGTTTTTGGCTTCCCCAAGCTTCCACATACTGCCCAGCCAATTCTAGTTTTGGTCCCGATCAGCTCATTCAGCTTTCCCTCTCGGAGTTTCAGAGTGGCTAGCAGATGGGAATTACTAAGCCCTATCAGTATTCCTGGTACAGCGGATTCGAAGTTCTTCACCGGAAGTTTCCTTAGGTGAGCGAACCTTGATGAGAGTTCCTCGAAGTCCAACGTTTGTTGAGGAAGTCCTAAGTTGTCCACCGTATACACATCCGATACCTTGAACCGTTTGTTTCCGCCAGCTTCTGATATCTCCATGTTCACAACCTCCGATCCAGAAATCTTCTTGTTAACGCCTCCTGTCCATTGAAGATACAACGATTCCACTCTGCCTTCGGCACCCAATTCCTCTGCGATCGACCGTTCCACGAGCGTCACTGAGGATCCGTCATCTAGAAAAGCATATGTGTTGACCTGACCTCTTTGACCGAATAAGGTAACAGGAAGGATCCGAAAAAGGGTTGATGAGGTAATCTGACGATGTACTGTAACCACCGCACTCGTAGATGCTTCGTCCGATTTCGATTCAACCGGTGGCTCGAAGTGCAGTAAACGGTGGTGCCGCTTCGGGCATTCGTTGATCCCGCAAACTTCACCCTTACACGGCCAACGTGCATGCGATGTGAGACAACGTGCGCAAAGTTTGTTTGCCTTTACCGACTTCCAACGACCGTCCAAATCGAGTCTTTTGAAAGCTGCACAATTTCCAATCTGATGGCCGTCAACCTTGCACACCGGACAGAATTTGCTGCGTGTACTTGAATACTTCGGCTGTTGCGTTTCTTCTGCCGCTTTCTCCCAATTTCTCGTTCTGGTTGGCTCTTCGCGATGCTTCGATTGCTCCGTTTCCGTTGCCATGTGCGCGTTTATGAACGACTTCTCCTTGGGTTTGCTTCGCTCTTCCCTTCCAGCTTTCGGCGGAATGCTGACAAGCTGGGTTACGCCACTAGCTGCCGATGACACTTTCGCCATGTAACCGCTGAACACATTCAAGTCAACTACCGGAACCTGCTCCTGATAGAGCGCCCAACTGAATTTCGCTGTTGCTGGTAGTTTGTCGACCAGTTCTTGTAGTAGGATGGGGTTTGACAAATGCCTTTCCAATCCGACTGCTTTCAAGTGGCCGCATAGATTTTGCACCACTAGTCCGAAACTCACCAGTGTCTCCAATCGATCCGTCCGTGGAGCTGGAGTTGCCCTCACCTTAGCGATCATATTGTTGACGATCTGTTCCGGACGACCATACAGTTGCTGAAGTGTCGACAAAATTTGAGGCACCGTTGACGGGTGCAGCAAAAAGCTGCTGACTGCATCTTTGGCGGAACTTCTAAGGCTACGCTGCAGCCGCAGAAGGTTTTCTGCGTTGGAGTAGCCGCAAATCTCCGACGAATGCTGGTAGCTGCTTATAAAAAGCGGCCAATCTACAGGATCACCAGAGAAGATTGGCAACTCCTTAGTGACCACTTGCCTGGCTGCCAATTGTTGAGACGATGGTCCAAATGTCTGATTCGGTACAAAACGTTGATTCGGAATCCACTGTGGATGAACTTGCGGAAACCCAGGGTCCCCAAAGTTTTCCTGTCGACTACTTGGAAAACCTTCGTTAACAAAGGGCGAAGGAGGTGGTGGAAAAGGAGGAGTATGATGCCGACTGTTCCCTGAATTATCTACCCTAGGCCTTCCAGAACTTATGTTTGGGTTAGCTAATTCTGGACTATTGTTGCCACTTACCGACGATTGACCTTCGTTACGTGTTTGAACGACATCTTCCAACTGCTGAACTTCGTCACGTAACGCCCAGTAGTCCTTTTCCGCTTTACTTCGCAGACGAATCGCTTCTTGCTCCCGTTGACAAGTGACTACTAGTTGGGACTGCAACTGTTGTTCCGTAGCCCGCAGACGCTGGATCTCACTCTCTAGCTCTGCATTCTGCCTCTGAATTGTTGCTTGTTCCCGATTCCGATGTTCGAGTTGAATCCGCAAATCCTCTTCCGATTGACGAATCCGTTGCAGTTCTTCGACGTGTTGGTTTTCCAGGTATTTGATGGTGTCCTGAAGCGCTGATAGCTGACGACCGCGACTTTCGAGCTGAGTACGCAGACCTTCTTCCGATCCCTGCATCCGCTTCGTTTCCTCGTCGTACTGTGCTTGCAAAACCTTCAACCGGTTAACCAGCTCCAACTCTCGCTTACGTCTTGTTTCCATCTCCAACTCGTACTTCGTCTTCAGTTCTTGGATATACTCCACACTTCGTAGCAACTCGACAGCATGCTGGTTTCGAAGTTTCCCGGTTTCGGAGCTCCATTTTTCGTATGATGGTATGTCAATACGTTTCACTTTCGGGACAGCGCCGGTCTTCGAAGTAGTCGCTATACTGTCCTTTTATTCGAGAAGATCGATGAAGGGCTTCAGATCGACGAATGGCATATCGGTTCGATCTTTTCTATCAAGCTTCACCACGGCCAATCCAAGAGCGCCTTCGATAGAATCCTCCGAATCCTCGCCAATCGTGACACTTCCTTCAGTTCTTGGGATTGATTCCACCTCTAATCCCTCGCCAAACGTTTTAGGAACAGCAGATTCCGAAACCTTATTCGGTGTCAATGAACAGTGCACTCCCTGCGCTACGCCGGATGCCTTTTGACGTTGATTGTCATCTACAGATGTTGGCACAGGCGTCTGACTAACGACGACCTTACCGGAACTCTCGGCTGCCTTGTTCTGCTTCACCCAATCTTCCGTCCTTCGCGCACTCCTCTGGCTACTTCGCAAACTGCGTACACTTTTTGCATCTTCTTCGTCTTGCCGGTTTAGCAATTCGTGTTTCTGAGCAATAAACTGCTTGCCACGCTCGAGCTTTTCTCGAAGTTCCTTCATGTTCAACGCTCTCTCCATGTTGATCTTCTCCTGGCTCAGCTCATCCATTAACCTGCGCTCTTCTTCCAGACGATTCAACTCACGACTTGTTCTAGCCCTGCGAGTGCTATAAGTGCTCAAAATTCCACTGGCAATACTCAGTGCTGGGTCAGGAATACGAGGAACGCAGGTCGTGCAAGAGAAACTAGCCGTACGTACCGTAGCAGTGTTGACGTTGGCACACGAAAAATGGTACCACCTGTTACAGTTCTGGCACTCAACCATAAACCGCTCAGCGTCATTTGACCGCTCACATCCACCGCATTCACGGTTCTCACCTCCACCGTTGTCCACAATCGATGCCAAGAACGAATCTTCCGAAGAACGATTCGACACCTTATCGTCTTCTTCGGTCTGGAGGTTAGCATTTACCTGCTCAATGGCCCTCCTCGTTCGCAACCGTGTTTGCCGAACATTCGACGGGAAATCCATCTCACTTCGGATGAATTCTTTAAGAATCTGTTGCGACAGATTTTCTCGGAGTTCTTCCAGCAAAAAACAACTCAGAGTTGTGTGTATATTAGCTTAAAGCTAGAATGCATTTATTATATTAAGAAAGCTTTAGAAACAATTTGTGTAATCTTACTCACAATTCAGTCTCCGTTTTATGTGTTTAATATATGTCACAACAGTTCGTGAAATTCTAATTATTATCCTGTAATTAGTTTTATGTTTAGTAATTTAATGTAGGTATAAATTCAAATAAATCACCTTATTATTTTAACTAATTCTTCCGCTTTGCTTCACAAATATTAACTTTCCTATCACTGTATCATATATGTACGATAAGATTTGTTTACATTCTTTTATCTCATATCTCTTATCAGTCCTTATTGTTCTCCCTCTCTCTAATCTGTCCATCATCACGTTTGACGGCTTGGGTTCACAGATCAACCGTTTGGTATAATGTGGCGCGTTAGCTACAAGGGGCTGTTGCGGCGAACATGCATGGTAGTAAAGGCAATTCACTTTGAAGTGGTCTCCAATCTCCCGACAGAAAACTTCATTGCTGCACTGCACCGCTTTGTGAGCAAGCGTGGTTTGCCAAGTGATATTCATTCAGACAACAGAACTGCATTTGTGGGTGTCAATCATGAGCTTGCTGCACTCAGGGACTTGTTCAATGGCTGTTCGGTCTGGGAAAGCACTTTCCCTTTCGGCAGTGGACTGTATCGGTAATGATTGGTGGAGGAGGCAAGCGTCGATCTAAAACAAACTCTTTGAGCTCTGAAAAGAGCTGGGGGGTGAGGTTCAACGCTTGCTCCGAACCAGGGATGTGTGCTGGGTAATTATTCAAACGGCGACGGCTACGCTAGTAACTACTTTTATTCTCTACTTCTTTTCTTTACAAAAGTTTGCTTTCTTCTGCTACTGATGCTTGCTCGTGGCCGGTCAAAAGGTAGCTGAAGTGAGTTTGCCTAATGGATGCCACTTTTATAGAAGCGCACTGTCTGCGCATGGTGATATGGACGTCGCTGATTGGTTAGTGTTGTTTGTCGCTGTTCGTCAGCGGCGATTGTCAAGATGGTTGGTTCACTTTCGGCGGAGACGGAACATACTCCCCCCGGTTGAGGTAACTCAACAATTACAAGGAGGTTGTACGTTATCTTCGATAGGCAGCACCGATATCTTGTTGATAGGGCGTCTGTAGCTGGAACCCCCCGCAACGATATCGACAATTCGGATCAAACCGTCATCGCCCGGATATACGGCTATGATGCGACCCAACTTCCAGTTGAGTGGGGATTGGTTTCGATCGTGGAGCAGAACAACCATGTTTTCACGGATGTTCGGCGTAGTTCGAAGATTCTTCTTTCTGGGTTGTAGGGTGTTCAGATAGTCGCGCCAGAAATGTTCGCGCATAAGTTGCAGGTGTTGACAGCTAGTTAGACGTGCTGCCTTGACGTCTTCCACGGATGGCTCGGGTATGTTTATTGTTTATTGTTGTTTTACATCAACAGGCTGGATGAAGCCCCAATGATTTTAACCTTATCAACTATGGTAAAAAAAATACATTCAAGCATGGTCATAACATAAAAACATTAACATATATCTTATAGTCAGTTACTCCTGCCGGCGATAAACAGAAGAAAACTTTCGAAAACTCTGTTGAATGTTCTCTGCAGTCCGCAAATCGCACCGTACGCTCCATAATTTGTGCGACGTAGAGGCAGTCTTAGCATAAGGTTATTACGAAGCGGTCGGGGTTGAACATTCAGGTCAATTTGCCTCAGGATAGCCTCACAATCTGTCCTTCCTTGCAGGATATCGGCCACGGTTAGGGCTCTGCTTGTGTCTCTTCTAGTCCGGAGAAGTTCTAGGTCGATAAGTTGACAACGGCTTTCGTAACTGGGTAATCGAAGCGGATCATTCCAAGGCAATCTACGCAACGCAAAACGAAGAAAGCGACGTTGAACAGATTCAATTCTCTCGGCACTGTTGTTGTAGTTTGGGTTCCAAACAGCTGAACAATACTCAAGCGTCGATCGAACAAGCGAGAGATTTTAGACAGTAGATATCAGTAAAGTTTTTAGCTATCGTAAAAATGAACCCTAAAGTTCATATGCGATGTGTTGCTTGAATGAAAGCTGCGAATCCAAGATCACACCCAAGTCTTTCACCTGATTCACGCGTTCGATTGTCGAGCCAAGCAGGTCATAGCTAAATATTATCGGTTGTTGTTTTCGTGAGAACGTAATAGCGGAGCATTTGGCTGGGTTCACTACCATTCTGTTTAACCTGCACCAACTAGCGAATACATTCAGTTGACGTTGAAGAAAGTGACAGTCAGCAGTGGAGCAGATTCGTAGGAACATATTGAGGTCATCTGCATATGATAACCGAGGAGCTTCGATGACCAGATGCACGTCGTTGAAGTACAGTATAAAAATTAACGGTCCCATGTGGCTTCCCTGAGGTATACCTGATATGGCGAAAAAGCTAGCTGATCTGCAATCTCCTATGGCAACCTTTAGTTGCCGACCGGTAAGATATGATCGAAACCAGCTCAGAAGATTACCGCATACACCGAGCCTGCCGAGCTTAGCAATCGCAATAGCATGGTTCAACTTGTCGAATGCTGCTTATAGGTCTGAATAAATAACGTCCGTTTGAACCCAATCCGACATGGTTTCGGTTATATACGATGTGAGACACAGCAGATTGGTGGTTGTAGAGCGGCCGACAGTAAACCCATGTTGATCAGCACTCAAATACTGCTTTCAATGGGACAGCAACGGTTCCATAATCACTAGCTCGAATAGCTTCGAAACGGCACTTAACGATGTGATTCCTCGATAGTTATCCACAGCTCGATTCCTTCCTTTTTTTGTGGACGGGAAACATATGCGCAAATTTCCAGCAAGATGGAAATATGCCACCTGAGAGAGACATTCGGAACAGGCGAAGAAGCGGAATTAACAAGCTAGCAATATGTCTCTTCAAAAATACAGATGGAACTCCATCAGGTCCAGGATTGAAGGATGACTTGAGCAGAGTCGCGGCCTTAAAAATCATTTCTGCATTAACATCAATTGCACCCAGCGTTTGATCGTTTCCTGGAACGTTCCTGGCAGCCAGGTTAATATGGTCGTCAGTTAGTATCTCATTAGTGAATACACTGGCAAACTTTTCGGAAAAAAGGGGGCATATATCCTGAACAGTGGCAGCAACTTCTCCGTTGAATTCCATAGACGATGGGAGGCCGGATTCCCTGCGTTGCTCGTTTACGTAGTTCCAATAGGATTTCGGCTGTAGCTTAAGTTTGCGCTGGATGCCTCGTTGGAAACTTGAAAAGCATTCACGACTGACTCACTGGTACATGTGATTCAGCCTCACATAATGTAGTTTCAGAGAAAGCGTGCGATACTTCGTAAATCTTCTCAATGCTGCTCTCTTGATTTACTTCAACCTACGTAGCTCTCTCGTCTGTCAGGTGAGACATTTTGTGGTGAGTTCTTTTCGGGACGTGTCTGTCAATGACATATGCCAAGACATGTGAAAAGGTTTGCGCTGCAGCCTCAACGTCATCTGGATCAAGGATGTTCTCCCATACCATGCTAGACAATACATCTATGATGCTACGGTGGTCAGCTTTACGGAAGTCATAAGAAACCGTAGCAGTATCACGCGAGTTTATCCTCGTCGAAATCACGCGAGTTTATCCTCAACAGTGACAATTAGAGGAGGGTGATGTGGAACTAGCTTAGTTAGTGCACAAGGAGCCGAGGAAATTGATGGAGCCCTGTCCTGTGTGCTCACGAAGCAGAGGTCCAAATTACGATCATTTT